GGCCCTTCTCGCTACGCTGGGTTAGATCCGAAATTCTCATGCGGAATCTGGTCGCCTTCATTGACGAGCCAAAGGCAAGAACCAAGTAATTAGAGGGGACTTCGGCTCTATGGCTAAAGTTACCTTGCAATGCGCGCTCAGCCATATTGGAGACCATGTTGGGCTCTCTGAGGCCTTCTTGGAGCCATGTTCGCCTACCCGCCCCCCTTTGATGCCTCCGGGGGCGCCTCGGAGGCCTCCGGGCGGCTCTTGTGGCGGGGCCATCCTGGTGGGACAGGCTCGCGATGTCAGTTCGTTTCCCCCCTCGTTGGGGCCCTCCTGGGCCTCTCTTGGGCCGTCTCGGGGGTCCTTAGGGCCGTTTGGTGGCCTTCTTGGGCCGTCGGGGGGCCGTCCTGGGACGATCTCTGGGCCCCCCCTGGGCTGTCTTGGACGCTGTCTCGGCGAAAAGGCGAGAGTATGCTAAAAAAGAGCGTTCACCGAGATGAATGGTGCGCCTTTTGCTTCTTGACGCCCTCTCCTGCGGTCCCCTCGGACCACTCTTGGGCCGTCTTGGGGGCCCCGTGGGCGGTCTCGAAGCCATCTTGGACAGTCGTGGGGCTACCCTGGGCCGTCTCGACGCTCTTTTGGAATATCTTGGCGCTCCCCTCCTCCTCCTCCTCCTCCTCCTCCTCCTCCTCCTCCTCCTCCTCCTCCTCCTCCTCCTCCTCCTCCTCCTCCTCCTCCTCCTCCTCCTCCTCTTGGGCCGTCTTGGGGCTCTGTGCAGGAGCTCCCGAGGCTCCAGGGGCAGCTCGTTCCTCCTCCCCCCCTCCCGCCTCCCCCCCGCCCCTTCTTCCAATCGGATTTCGGACCGTAGGGGAACAACAAATGACATAAACATAAAAACTCGGAGGTCCGCGCGGATTTCTCGGATCGGCGCTGGACCCGCCGGGCGGCGCCTCCGGCGCCGCCCCTGGCGCGCTCCGCGCGCCAGGGAGGGGGGTCCAGCGCCGATCCGAGAAATCCGCGCGGACCTCCGAATTTTTATGTTTATGTTATTTTTTGTTCCCCTAATGGGGGAGGGGAAAATTGTCAGGCGATCGCAAGCATGGATCAAGGGGGCGTGGATTAGCGACGGGCCCGTCCCCACGGGGATCCGCGGGTTTCCGCCGCCGAGCGAGCCGGCTCGGGCCGCATTTTGGGGGGGGCACCTCCCCCGATCCATGGATTTGGCGACCGCGCGCAAAATCCATGGATCGCTAATCCATGTTTGCGCGCCTCCGACATTGGGAAGGGGACCGCCAATCATCTCACGCGCCAATGCATCCCCGGCAAGCGGGTGTTGGCGGATTCTGGCTTTGAGCGAAGATAGGTTCTCCTAGCCCCGCCCTCATGGAGCCCCGAGCATCGCTTCGTAGAGCCCTCTGGAGGCGCTATTGGGACGCTCTTAGGCGCTCCTGTGGCCGTCTTGGAGCCCTCCTGGGCCTCCTTTGAGGCTTTGTTGGACATCTTGGAGCCGTCTCGAGGCCTCGGGATCCAGTCAGGAGTGGAGCGATGAGCAGGCACAACGCATTGCTTTCTGCAGGTTTTGAAGTATTGTCGTTTCTTGGGGACCTCCTTGGGAGGCTGAGTGGGTTTTCGGCGCCGTCTTGAGAGGGTCTCGGGGCCTCTCCGAAGCATCTTGGATGCCATCTTGAACCATATTGTTATGTACTGGGCTTTCTTGGATGCCATCTTGAACCATATTGTTATGCACTAGGCTTTCTTGGATGCCATCTTATGTTCCCTGATGTCATCTTAGGACGATCTTGGGGCATCTTGGGCGCTCCCATCCCTCGCGAGGCGCCCTGTCCAGACCCAGGGCGAGCGGGTCTGGCGAGGGGTGTATCCCTCCCCGAAGGGGAAGCATGGTGTGGAAGCGCAGTAGCCCTACGAGCTTGGAAAAGCACCGATATATGCACGATACGGAGTGGACCCATGAGCAGAGGCAGGGACAGAAGGAGAGGGAGTAGAAGGAGGAGGAGGTTGAGGAGGAGGAAGAGGAGGCGGAGGAGGAGACTTACGAGGAGACGGAGGAGGATACGGAGGAGGAAGAGGAGGAGATGGAGGAGGAGACAGAGGAGGAGGAGGAGGAGGAGGAGGAGGAGGAGGAGGAGGAGGAGGAGGAGGAGGATGATAAGGAGGAGGAGGACCAGTGTAAACCCAAGGGTCATCAATGATGTTGGAGTAAACCCTCCCTCCAAACTCCCTCTCTATAGGCCCGTACAACGGTTCACGTCCATTGAGGAACTGCCTCGTTGGAAGACACCCGTTTGAAGACCCTGAAGCATGCAAAACATTGTTCTCGGGGTTCCAACGCCACGGATCACCGAATTGTTCCGATTTGTCGATCCTGAATCGTGCCAGGCAGAAAACCATCCTTAGGATTTCAATACAGAGAATCAACGTAACTGTTGCGCCCGCATCATCCTTAATCCTTCCAAGCACCATTCCTGGTACGTTGAAGATGGGAGCCCGTGAAACTTTTGAACATTTTGTAAACGAATGTGCGCGGCGCTAAGGCGAGAGCTACATTGTGAAAAGGAGCCACCCTCAACCCGTGAAGCTCTGGCAATTTTTTACAAGGAATGTGCGCCGCGCCAAGGCGAGAGCCCCATTTTGAAGACCACCCGCCCTCAATCCGTGAAGCCCTTGCAAATGTTTAAAACGAATGCGCGCCGCGCTAAGGTGAGAGTCGCATTTTGAAAGCCACCCGCCTTGCACCTGTGAATTTGTGGCAAATTCTTACGCTTCAGAGTCATAACTGGCGAGGAAGTCTCAGGCGAAACGCACGGCCCGCCCAAGAAACTGGCCTCGGGGTGCGACAGGGAGAAGTTACCCATAAGGACAAGGAGTGGAGGAGGAGGAGGAGGAGGAGGAGGATGGAGGAGGAGGAGGAGGTGGAGGAGGCGGAGGAGGCGGAAGAGGAGGAGGAGGAGGAGAAGGAGGAGGAGGAGACGGAGGAGGAGACGGAGGAGGGGACGGAGGGGGATACGGAAGAGGATACGACGGAGGAGGAGACGGAGGAGGCGACGGAGGAGAAGGAGGATGATACGGAGGATGAGGCGGAGGAGGAGGAGGCGGAGGAGGAGGAGGTGGAGGAGAGGGAGGGGATGGAGGAGGAGGATGAGGAGGCGGAGCAGGGGGAAGAGGAGGTAGAGGAGGAGGATGAGGATGATGAGCACTAATAAGAATAGGACGATACGTACTAATACTGATAATAATAATAATGATAAGACGAGGGCTATCGATCCTAGTGTTATGAAGAGTAACAGCATTCATACATTTACGACTTAACGAATTTAGTTAATACTGCGAATACGGCGAATAGTAGTAACCAAGCGAAGGATACGAATACTACTAACACTACGAAGAAGACGAATGGGATGACTGTGCACCCTGTTAAGACTGAGACAGACCAGAAACTTCACAGGAATACTAATGGCACGAAACGTATAAGGACACACTTTAATACGGATGGTATTAATACTACGAATACTAGTACTACGAACACGAGTAATACTATCGTCAACACGGATACTTGTACTAGTAATGAACGAACGTGCTAGTCATAATACCAATCATAGCAATCAGAAGTCGAATACTAATTCTAACGCTGCTACTAAGAATAATAATATTACCAGGGGGATGAGGAGGAGGAGGAGGAGGAGGAGGAGGAGTAGAAGGCGGAGGAGGAGGAAGCGGAGGAGGAGGCGGAGGAGGAGACAGAGGAGGAGGCGGACAAGGATGAGGATGCGGATGAGGCGACGGATGATGAGACGGCCGAAGAAGATGCTGTTGCTGCTGCTGATCATGATGACGCTGATTATGATGCTGCTGATGCTGCTGATTATGATGCTGCTGCTGATGATGATGCTGATGCTGATGATGATGAGGAAGATGCTGATGATGATGATGCTGATGATGATGATACTGATGATGCTGCTGATGATGAGGATGATATGATGATGATGATGACGATGATGATGCTGATGAGGAGGAGGAGGATGATGAGGAGGAGGATGATGATGACGATGATGATGCTGATGATGATGATGACGATACGGATGATGATGATGATGATGATGATGATGATGATGATGAGGATGCTGATGCTGATGATGATGCTGCTGCTGCGTCTGCTGATGATGATGATGATGATGATGATGCTGATGACGATGATGATGATGATGCTGCTGATGCTGATGATGATGATGATGCTGATGATGATGAGGATGATGCTGATGCAGATGCTGATGATGATGATGATGATGATGATGACGATGATGATGATGATGATGATGATTGATGATGATGATGATGATGATGATGATGATGATGATGATGATGATGATGATGATGATGATGATGATGATGATGATGATGATGATGATGATGATGATGATGATGATGATGATGATGATGATGATGATGATGATGATGATGATGATGATGATGATGATGATGATGATGATGATGATGATGATGATGATGATGATGATGATGATGATGATGCTGTTGCTGCTGATGATGATGATGATGATGGGAGGAGGAGGAAGGGAGGAGAGGAGGAGGGAGGAGGAGGAGGAGGAGGAGGTTGAGGAGGGAACAGGAGGAGGAGGAGGCGGAAAAAGGCGAAGGGGGAGGAGGTGGATGATGAGGAGGCGGAGGAGGAGGATGAGGATGATGATGGGCAGGAGGAGAACGAGGAGGAGGAGGAGGAGGTGGAGGAGGAGGAGGAGGAGGAGAAGAAGGATAATGAGGCGGGGGAAGCGGAGGAGGCGGAGGAGGAGGAGGATGAGGAGGAAGAGGAGGAGGAGGAGGATGAGGCGGATGAGGCAGAGTAAGAGGAGGAGGAGGAGGAGGAGGAGGAGGAGGAGGAGGAGGAGGAGGAGGAGGAGGAGGACGAGGAGGAGGAGGAGGAGAATGAGCACGCAGCAGGAAACATAGCAACAACAACAGGGGATGATAAGCAACCGTGCCAGGAGATGCAGCAGCTCTTTGCGAAGGCCCCACTGGCCTTCCATTGCACCGCCTCTCCTCGCGCGTTCGCCCTTCTCCCCCTCCTCGTGGCCTTCCCCTTCCCCCGCCGTCTCCCCAGACCCATCGCGACGCAAAGCAATCAGGGGATTTGTTGTTCGTGTTGGTTCGGCGCGGAGATCTCCAGATGTGCACCGCGTTCCCTAGCAGTTCCCGATGCGGGCGTCTGGGCGAGAATGTTTTACAGCCTGTGGCGAGAGAGCGCTCCTCGGTGGCTTCCCCTTTGGATTGCCCAAGTGCTGTGGGTGGTGCATCGGGGTGACTTTTTGGGCTCTGGCAGGGGCAGGGGCTGGTGCTGTCCATCGCTTCGCTCGAGAGACGTCCCACGATCTCTGCGAGATCGGGCAGGAGTCGGCTCCAGCCTGGGGTGCCAAAGTGCCACGTCTGCTGCGTCGCGGCGACCACGGGGGCTCCCAGAGCAGCGGAGTTGGTGGCCCCCCACGAGCGCATCACACGAGACGCCCCCGCCGCCCGAAGCCGATCGCCCCGCTCCAGGGATCCCCACAGTCCGACGAAAACGACCGCCTCGCTCGAGATATCCCCACGAGCTTGGCCGCGAACGGGCACGCGTCCCAGTCCCTTGCGGCTCGTTCTTGGGGAAGTGTCCTCCTCCCTGGCGGCTCCTGCTAGATCGCGGTGATCATGCAGCTTTCAAAAGAGGAATCGGAGGTGTAAAACGAGCGCCTCGCTCGATAAATCCCCGCAATCTGGCCGCGACCATGCAAGTGCCTCCCTCCCTGGCGGCTCCTTCTGGGGGATGACCGAGCGCTATACTTGTTACATCGCGGTGTTTGTGGGGATCCGAGAGGAGAAGAGTCGACCAGAAGGGTGACCACTCAAGCGTAGGCGCCGCTTCTCTTGAGCGGGCTTTTTTTCCGCCATGTTAGCATTCACATTCTGGCGTGCTGCGACGGGGTCGGGGAATCGCGTGGTCAGCAGGCACCGGGTGCCTCGTCGCAGATGGGACAGGGCGTTGCGTAGACTACGCTCGAAGAGGAAGGCTGCTCGCCAGAACGACCTTGGCGAGGACTTCGGACGTGTCGCATCATGATTGTTTTTTTCCGGGTAAGTCGGAGCAGCGCAGCTATTGCCGTCTTGGGGCGCAAGACCGCAAGGCAAGACGTTCCCCTCTCCTTCTCATCCTCTTCTTCCTTCCTTCTTCCACTCCTTCTCCATCCCCCTCTTCTTTTCCTCCTCCTCCTCCTTCTCCTTCTCCACCCTCTTTTCCCCCTTCCCTCCTCCAATCCCCGTGAAGGCCTTCCAGCCGTTGCCGTCTCAGCTCTTCTGCCTGTGCTAGGCCCACTCGGTCGTCGTTTCCTCCCCCCCCCGTCCCGCTCCTCTCCCCTGCACCCCCTCGCCGCCCTCCCCCCCCGTGTCCTCCTCCCTGCCGCGGTGCCCGCCCCCGAGATGGACGCCGAGGGCAGCGGGAAGGTGCCCGTGGACGCCCTGCAGAGCGCGGTGCGCCGGGAGCGCAGCCACTCGTCACGAGCCCGTCGTGCGGACCTTTTCTCTCCCTCTCCTCCTCCTCGCTCCTCCTTGCTCTTTCTTGCTCCTCTTGCTCCCGTTCCTCTCTCCTCCAGCCCTCCTCCCTCCCTTTCTCGGTCCCTCCCTGTCCGTGGCACGGTCCTGTGTTCCGATTGAGCAAGAGTGCTGCGACAGTCGGTTGCGACACGAGCGTGCGCCCGCATGTTACCGAGGGCCCCCCGAATCATACAACAGAAGGGCGATTTTTATCGGTCCCATCTTATTACGTACCAGCCAGCCGCTGTGCGGTTGATCGGGAGTTTCTGTACACAGAAGAGGGGCGTGCGCCTGCGCTCGACGACGATGGTGAGAATGAGCGGGCGGCGGTGGTGCGACGGTGAGGATCAGGAGTGTGAAGCTGACGAGCTGGAGGTTCCTGGAGGTCATCCGTCCTCCTCATCATCGTCGCACTCATAATCACCATCATCATCATCATCACCATCAAAACCATCAAAACCATCATCACCATCATCATCGTCACACTCATCAGCACCACCACCATCATCATCATCGTCAGCATCATGTCGCCATCAAATCATTTTCAACCCGTCACCAAATCATCATTATTGTCGTCATCACCATCATCATCACCATTTTTATCATCAACACCACCACCATCATCATCAGCATCCTCATCATCACTGTTGCCATCATCATCATCATCACCATCATTATCACCATCGTCATCATCCTCAGTATCAGGATCACCACCATTATGAGCATCATCATCATGCTCTTACTCATCATCATCATCATCACCATCATCATCTTCATCATCATCATCATACTCAGCATCATCACCATCATCATCTTCATCATCATCATCATCATCATCATCATCATCATCATCATCATCATCATCATCGTTATCATTCTCATCATCATCATCAGCATCGTCATCGTCATCGTCATCGTCATCGTCATCGTCATCGTCATCGTCATAGTCACCGTCACCGTCACCGTCAACGTCACCGTTACCACCACCATCATCACCACCACCATTATCATCATCATCATCATCATCATCATCATCATCATCATCATCATCATCATCATCATCATCATCATCATCATCATCATCCCCATCATCATCATCAGCATCATCAGCATCATCAGCATTATCATCATCATCATCATCACCATCATCATGATCATTACCATCGTCGTTACCACCATCACCATCGTCGCCTCTCTTCCTGCTTTCCTCGCTTTATCCCTTCTTCCATGCGCCGATGCTGCTTCTGCTGCTCTCCCGGCTGCTCCTCCCATGCCTCCTCCTGCTCCTGCTCCTCCTCGTCTCCCCCATCCTCCCGGGGCCAGGGTCGCAGCGTTGGTCTGGCCACCTCCTGGCTCGGCCGAGGCCGGTGGCAGAGAGGCCTCGAGCGCCGACTTGCTCTTCCAGTGGCTCGTAGACAGCAGTTCCACGGCCAAGTTGGTCAGGTTGGTGATCGCGCGGCCTCCAGTGGCGCTCGGCGCGGCCTTCTCGGACCTGGCACCGGCTCAGACGTTCTTTCTGGAGGAGGAGGAGGAGGAGGAGGAAGAGGAGGAGGAGGAGGAGGAGGAGGGGGAGGGGGAGGGGGAGGGGGAGGGGGAGGAGGAGGGAGGAGGAGGAGGAGGAGGAGGAGGAGGAGGAGGAGGAGGAGGAGGAGGAGGAGGAGGAGGCGGAGGAGGAGGAGGAGGAGGAGGAGAAGGAGGAGGAGGAGTTGGAGCGAAGAGTTCGCGGCGCGCCGTCGCGAAGGTGAGCCGGGCCCCAGCGGCCAGCTGCTCTACGGCGCCACCGTGGATCTCGGCGCGCCCCCCGCCTGCCCTGCGCACCTGGCGCGCGCCCGCGGGCTCCCCCGTCGGCGTGGAGGAAGCAATACGTGACGAACGGACAACACGCACCCATACCCATAGGGGGGTCGTTGGGAGGAGGACTGGCTGTGGGTATGGGTGCGGGTTGTCGGGCCCTGGGGAACGCTCCCGTTCGAGCGGGGACCCCCATCCGACAACACGCACGCATAGCCCTCTCCGATCCCCCTATGGGTATGGGTGTGTGTGTGTGTGTGTGTGTTGTTAGTTCGTCAATACAGTGGGGGCCCGTGCCGGGAAACACCCTGCTTGCCTCCAGGGTGCCCCTGTGGCAAGCACAGGGGGGCTGCGGGTCGAAGACGCCCACGGCAAATCACCGCCGCCCGCTGCCTTTTGGAGTCGCCCATGTGGCCGAAGGTTGGGCTACAGTGGAGGCCCATGCCAAGAAACACCTGGCTTGCCTCCAGGGCGCCCTGGGTTTCTTGGGTTTCGATGGTTCTGCGATGGGAAGCGTGACGTTTCCACACCAACAACCGGTGGACGTCCTGGGGTCTCTTGGTTGGGTTTCTCGTAGAAGGTTTCTTGTGGTCGAGCCTCTACTGTATGACCTCGACCAGTTGTCGCGGTATCTCGTCGCCGATCTTTTTCCTGGTTCATGCCGGGCGTCCCCGATTCGCGACGATGATTCACGAATTGACGATGACCGAGATGGACGATGGCCTGGATGATGACCAAGATCGACACCCGAGGCGGCACCAGCCGCTTTTGGGGAGGGGGCACCTTCCCGGGTCCATGGATTTGGCGACCGCACGCCAAGTCCATGGATCGTTCGTCCACGTTTGCGCGCCCCCGAGAAACGTAAGACTCGAGTAATTACGCCGGAACTCGGGTTTGACGACGCTTTCTGGCGAGAGCGGCCTGGATTTTGACGGTCCAGCTCTCGTGGGATGTTTGCAGCGTGAGCTCGCGGGCCAACCCGAGTCCCCCAAACCCGAGTCCTCCGAACCCGATCCAGGGGCCCTGGAGGTTTCTTGGAGTCTAAGGGGGGCTTTCGGGGGGCTTCCTGGGGGCCCCTTCTTTGGAGCCAACGGTGCATCTTTGGGCCGCGAATCTGGCCCCCGCTTGCTCAGTACTTCACAGGAGGCGCATGAAGGGTGTGTCGGTCGCATCGTAAACCTGTCAGACTTGGATCAAGATGTGGAGATGATAACGAGGAGGGTGACGATGGGGACCATGATGATAATTGTGATGGCGATGATTACTATGATTATGACGAGGACGACGACGGTGATGATGATGCTGCTGATGATGATGCTCATGCTGATGATGGTGATGATGATAATGATGATGCAGATGATGATGATGATGCTGATGATGCTGATGATGATGATGCTGATGATGATGATGACTACGACGATGGAATGATGCTGACGATGATGATGACGATGATGATCGTGATGATGATGGTGATGATGATCATGACGATGATGATACATATTAGGACGGTTATGGTAGTATTGATGTCGATGCATATGGATACACGTCTGAGGATCATGATGAGGGTGGTGATACTGATGGTGACAATGACGAGGACGCTGATGATGGTGATTATAATGATGAAGAAGATGATGATGCTGATGCTGCTGCTGCTGATGATGATGATGATGATGATGATGATGATGATGATGCTGATGAATCTTGCAAGACACTGATGCTGAAGCTGATGACGGTGATGGTGAAGATGACCATGCTGCTATTGTTGCTGCTGATAGGTATGGTGACGTGGCCGATGACGGTGGTTCTGACCCGGATTACCATGGCGATGGCGATGATGGCGATAAGGATGACGAGGACAACGACGACGACGCTGCTGCTGCAGATGAATGATGATGATGATGATGATGATGATGATAATGATGATGATGATGATGATGATGATGATGATGATGGTGGTGATGATGATGATGCTGATGACGATGATGCTGATGCTGCTGCTGATTATGATGATGATGCTGATGATGATGATGATGATGATGATGATGGTGATGATGATGATGCTGATTATGGTGACGATGACGACGACGATGATGATGACGATGATGATGCTGATGATGGTGATGATGCTGATGATGCTGATGATGAGGATGCTGAATGTGATGATACTGATGCTGGAGATGGCGGTAGCGATGGCGATGGCGATGGGGATGGTAGTTGCGATGACGACGATAATGCTGCTGTTGATGATGACGACGATGAGGATGATGGTGCTGATGATGATGATGCTGATGATGATGGCGACGATGATGATATTGATGTTGATGATGCTGCCGATGATGCTGCTGCCGCTGATGACGATGATGAGGATGGTGATGATGACGACGACGTTGATGATGAGGCTGATGATGCTGATGATGACGATGATGATGCTGATGGCGATGTTGCTGCTGTTGCTGTTGCTGCTGCTGCTGATGATGCTGATGATGATGCTGATGATGGTGATGCTGATGATGGTGATGCTGAGACTGCTGCTACTGCTGGCTTCTTGCTGCTGCTGCTGATGGTGATGATGATTGTGGTGGTGGTGGTGATAATAGTGATGGTGATGGTGATGGTGATTTTGATGGTGATGGTGATGGTGGTGGTGTTTATACTGATGACGACGGTCGGGGTCGGGCATTATCTACTTGAAGGCACCGAGCAGCGTCGGCGCTCCATCGCCACCATTCTTAGGCTCATAGGGTAGAGCCTCCCACCACCGCGCACGCTGCGAAAACTGGACGTGTGAGCCAATGACAGGCGTTCTCCATTCTAGCCAAGGCGTCTCCCAGCCCATGCCCGAAGCAATCACGGTAGGCAGTGGCGAGAATTAGAGGGGACTCAGGCAGGTTACGCGCGTCCAGGCAGCAAGTTGTCCGAACAGTGCACCCAGTCCACCCCGCACCCCAACATTCGGCGGCGAGCGAGGGGTGGAGTGAGAAGGGGCGGGCCTTCTGAGAAGGTTTGAAGTCCCCCGGGCCTTCTGAGCAGTCTCCTGGGCCTTCCCCGAGGACACAACTGATCTCTCAGAAGGCGCGAGGACTCCTGAGAGGTCCCGCCGCCTTCTGAGAAGACCCCCTCCCTCTCACTCCCCCCCCCTCGCTCGCCGCCGAAGACTTAGGACGCTCGGTGGGAGGCTGAGGAGTGCGGCACGCCGCGCGCCCGAGCATGCAGCAGTCGGGTGATTGTCTTGGGGGACCTTCCCGGGGCCCACCCCACGGATCTGTTCAGCCCCACTTCGACTCAGGCTCGACTCGAGCTCGAGCTCGACTCAAGCTCAACTCGAGCTCGGGCGCGACTCAGGTTTTGCTCAGCCTCGACTCGAGATCGACCCGAATCGACAGGCGTCCGGCGCAGCTTCGGCGCAGGCTGGCGCCAGGAAGACCCCCAGCATGAGTGGCTCCAGGGACGAGCGAGCAAGGGCGCCCTCGAGGGCGCGAAGTTACTCGCGCTTCGCGCTTCGCGGTTCGGCTCCGATTCTTCATCCTCCTCCTCCTCCTCCTCCTTTTCCCCCCTGGGAGGCGGCGCGAGAGCGCGAAGTTAGTCGCGCTTCGCGCTTCGCGCAGCGCGAAGCGCGAAGCTGGGAGCCCTTGCTCCAAGGAAGGCCCCCAGAAGGAGTGGCTCCGGGAGCGAACCCTGGAGCGAGTGGCTCCTGGGAGGCCACCAGCATGAGCAGCCAGGCGTTTGCGCCACCCCAGCATACTAATGTTAAGTCGGGCACGTCCCTCTACACAAGGAATATTCAAAAATAGTCAGAAAATAGTCAGGGGACGATTTTTGGGCTATTTTTGAGCATTTTGGAAGTATTTTTTAAAGTGTTTTTAATTTTTCGCCCCAAATCCCCCTGTAGGGGGACAGGCCCGACTTAATACTAATACCCTGTGTGCGCCGCTCCCCTTCGGGGGCGATGCGCGCACCGAGGCATCTTCTGGTGCACGGGTCGTGGCGGGCGCTTCTTGGCCGCGCCGCTCGGGAAACGATGGGCCTCCTCCTCCTCCTCCTCCTCCTCCTCCTCCTCCTCCTCCTCCTCCTCCCTTCTCCCCTTCCTCGTCTTCCTCGTCGTCGTCCTCCTCCTCCTCCCTTCTCCCCTTCCTCGTCCTCCTCCGTCTCCGTCCTCCTCCTCCTCCTCCTCCTCCTCCTCCTCCTCCCTCCTCGTCCTCCTCCTCATCCTCCTCCTTCCTCCTCGTCCTCCTCCTCCTCCTCCTTCTCCTCCTCCTTCTCGTGTTGTGATTGTGGCGGCCGGCCCGCCAGACTAATTGACGCCTTGCTCAGTTCTCGCCCCTCGCGGCGGGCGCGGCCGTTTCTCCTCCGCCTCTCCTCCTCCCCGTCCTCGGTGTCCTCCTTTGCTGTCGGGCGTCGCTGGATGGTGAAAACCAGTGTTGTGATGGTGGCGGTGCTGGTGATGATGAAGACAATGATGCGGATAGTGGAGGAAGAGGAGGAAGAGGAGGAGTACGAGGGGTGATAAGGATGTGGAGGATCTGCAGGGGGAGGAGGAGGAGGAGGACGAGGGTCATAAGGATGAGTAGGATCTGCCTCTTCTCGCAGGCCGCCATGCAGCGGGGTCTGTGCGCCCAGATCCGCGACGCGCTCAGCCAGCTCAGGCGCCCGCGCTTGCAGGAGGGAAGACGGATGGGTAGAGCGGGGGAGGGGAAGAGGGAAGGACAAAGGGGGACGGGCGCCTCCGTCTTCTCTTCTCTCCCTTGCCTCTTGCCTCTCCCTATTTGCGTGCTCTCCCGATCTCTAATCCCTCTCTTCCCCTCTCTTCTCTTCTCTTCTGGTCCCCCTCTTACTCCCTATCTTTATCTCCATCTTCATTTTTCTCTCGATCGTATCGTTTCGAGTATCTTCGGGTACAGGTGTAGCCACAGACTTGGCGAACGCCGAGCCCAACGTGTGACTGATTTGTGTCAAGCCCCCCTTCCAGTATCCGCGCGCGCAACATGGGTTCGCAAGGTCCTCGCCGTGAGCGTACCAATCCTCAGCTGCCTACGCCACGTGGCAAGGGCCGCCAATAGATACCCTTACCGGACAATGACCTCTCCCGAATGGAAGCCTGTGTCGCCGCACTCCAGACCAGTGGTGGCGTCCACCGAGCAGTCGCTGCATCCAACCAACCTGGTCATAATAAACGCCGCACTGAGCCAACATAAGCTTATCAGTTACCAACACCAGGGGCGATCTCGTGAATATGTAATGACATTGTGCGGGAAAACAAGATCAGCTATACCATGCTGCGCTAACTGGTCCTTGATGCACAAACGGGCCCCACCCGTGACCCACCAGGGTCCACGGCTTCTGCCGACGCCCACCAGGGCAACGGCATCGTTTCATTCATTTGCCAGGATGCACAAACTGGGATATCTCCATCGTTGTTGCTCCCAACAAGGCGGAGGACGGCGCATCGCACACCAGCAGCATCTTCTTTCACATGCTAGAAGAGGACAGCCGGATCCTGCGACAAATCCGCCGACAAGATCAGCCCCTCGCGCTAACCGTCGTGAGACCAACCAGCACCGATCACCACGGGAAATGAATATGAATCTATGTCTTCCGCAGGACGGCTACGGCCACCGAGCCCCCACGCCAGGGCATATAGGGAACCATTTGCCAACTAGGCCGCGCAGAGGTCAACCTGCAGAACGTCGTCCAAGTGAGGGCCCAGGAGCGCCGTGACACGGCGACAATCCGACCATGCACGCAACCAGTTCGATGATGATCTTTCCGACGTTTTCATTGTCATTTCTGCTTGGATAGAGATTTTGGAACGTCACGGTATGGCAGCGGGCAAGCGCAGGATCACCGCCACGTGGCAGTCCAGTGACCGACGTCCCAACCGTCTTGGCCTCCTCAGGCCAAGGGGGAAACCAGTTCGATGCCAGCTACCGCGGCACCGCAGGCCCTGCGCCCCCCAGTGCGCCGCGGCGTGGTACCCAGACGGCCAATGGATCGCGCTCCAAGTGGCCCACCAGACCCCCCAGCAAGTTTTCCGCTTTCGGAGGCATTCGCGCCGACGAGCGAATAGGCATCCATGTGAAATCCGACGCGAACGAAGCCGAGCAAGTCGCTCTCGAGCTCAGGGGATCTGATTCGGCGCTCGGGAATGCCATGTGTCGTGTTTCAGGCACCGAGCTCCAGAATGCGACGAAGACGTGAGCCGCCAAAGTTTTCGCATCCATCCAAGTGTACTGTGAAGTCCAGCGCGCGGGATGGGACAAAGCCACTGATGGGGGGCTCTGCCATCACCAAAGCGGCAGCGCCCCCACCAACTACCATTATTCACGTTCAAGCATCCACCATCCCATAGACCATCTTTCCAGTGGAGACCGCGTCCAAGACGGACCCGCCGAAAACGCCAACGGGGAAGATCGCCTCGCCAGAGGCGCCCGCGCGGGGGTCCCCGACGGGCGGCCTGCTCGGCGCCAGCGCCGCGCCGACTCTCCAAGACAGGGCGGCCGCCGCGCCGCGCCTGCGAGCGCCGCTGACGCCGCGGTCGAACCAGAAGAGGCGCGCCGCCCCTGGGGGCGCCGCCCCCCGAGAAGGAACAGCGTGGTACCGGCGCAGAGAGGATTGCCCGGCGCTTGCCCATCGCAGCTGGGCAGGCTGTTGTCCTTCGATTCTTGGTGCGCATCAGTCGCACGTGCAGGCATCAGGAAACCCATGCAGGATTTGAGGTGGGGATGTGCAGATCATGAAATTCCCCACTCCTCAATTTAACGCTGTTTTCCTTGTGAACCTTTGAGACATGCTATTCCCTGAAACAATACCTAATTGCACTTCCGCCCGCGAAATCACTGTAGATGAGAACCTGTGCAAGTAAGGGTGTGCAAATTTCGCAATGACTTTGCTGTGGGGTAGTTTTTGGCATTTTTAAATGGAGAGCCACACCTATGGAGACAAACATAACGCAGACCACAGAGCGGAGCAGCCCCCCTGACCAGCGAACACGGGAGCCTAGAGGCGGACGGCAGAGATATTTGGAGACGGCGACAGACAGAGAGAGAGAGAGAGAGAGAGAGAAAGGGAGAGAGAAAGAGAGAGAGAGAGAGAGAGGTGAATACACGCATGCAAACAGACGGACAGGTAGGCAGCCACAGCTCGTCAGACAGAAGCAGACAGAAAACCCAACAGGCGAGGCGGACAGGCACATGAAGACGAACAGACAGCCGTGCTGATAGGCAGGCATACAGACATATGGACGGAGACGGACAGAGGGTTGGAGACAGAGAGACTTGCACGCGGTTGGCCTGTTCTAGGAGAAGCGCGTGTTCCCCTCAAAAAGTGTTTCTTTGGAGTATTCTTCCAGAAAGATCGGGATCACCCTAGCTGATAACCCCTCGCCCGCCTAAATTAGTCACGTGATGAATTCACATGTTCTTCATCAAGCAGGCGCCACACCGCTGAACAATACCCTTCTGAATCGTCAGTTGCTGCTCCTGCGGCGTATCGCATGGAAGACAGTTGGCAACCCAGTCAGGAGACCTGTCCTGCACCGTTTGTTTCACGCGAGCTAGCAGCTCAGGGTTTCAAGCGGACATGGGGGCGCTCCAGGAAGACTTGTGGCCGATTCAGTTTTTTTTTCCCACGCTGTCCTGGCCCAAACGGTGAGGAGGCCCTCCAAGAGTTAAGTAGGGCATGTCCTTGTACAGGAGGAATTTTAAAACATACTCGAACATAGCCAGGTTGTTCTTTAGGTATAACAATATTCAAAACAAACTATTTAAGCTATTTTTTGTATATGTTTCCTGTTTCCTCCAACATCCGCCTGTAGGAGGACATGCCCGACCTAATGCAAGGGCTCTGGCAATCACACACAATCACAATCACAGCTGCCATCGCTCCGAGAGGCGGCGCCGTCACGGCGGGTAACTAGGCGTGCGACGAGACAAAACCTCATTTCGGCCGCAGCCTGGCGCGCAGCCGTGGAGCGGTATTGCGACGCCCTGTGAGGCCACGGCATGTGTGTTCATGTGTTTTGCGCTCATATTGTTTTGTTGTGTTGTTGTTGTTGCTGCTGCTGTTGCTGTTACTGTCGCTGTTGTTACTGCTGTTTTTGATGTTATCGTTGCTGCTGCTGCTGCTGCTGCTGTTTTTTTTGTTGTTCTCTCTTTCTCTCTCTCTTTCCCTCTCTCTGTCTCTCCCACCGCTTCCCCGTTCCCCCCTCGCCCTTGCCTGCTCCCTACTTTGCCTTACCCGTCTCCCGCCCTCCCTCCCAAGCCCCCACCGATCGACTGGCTCGGCGGAGGGGCCAACCCTCGTGGGGGTCCGATTGCCCACCCCGCCCAGGACCGAGCGGTTTCGCCATGGGGAACCCATCGCCGATGTATCGACGATGTGTTGCCGATTCCAGGTCGATGCGTCTCCTCTTGGGCCCGCCCCTCCCCCCCATGATCTCGCACTGGGAGCGGTCGACAGGGAGATGGCGAAGGCAATGGAAACCACGTGTGTTTGGTGGTCTGCCATTGGGCCGATTGGCCTCGTACGCGTTGCTTGTAGTTCCTGGTGCGGAGAAGCGGAGCAGCAATGTCGGGGCATGAATGCTGCTAGCGCCTCCGCCATTCTCGCTGCTGTATCCTGGCGTTGCTGTTCATCTACTTGGTAAAGCCTCACTTGTTGCTACTCATGGGCGCAATCCGCGCGGCGAGGGAACCTGGTCCCAACGGTGCCGTTGCCCTTGCGCGTGAGTCCGATTTCAGGACAGCCGCGGCCTCTCTTTGCTCTCTGTCTTCTGCCCTCCCTTAGCTCTGCTGCTGCTCGTACCTGCGCCTCCCCCTCCGCCTCCTCGACATTATCTTGGGTCTGATTCTAGTATATACATACATACATACATACATACATACATACATACATACATACATACATACATACATACATACATACATACATGCATGTATGCATGCATGCATGCATGCATACATACATACGTACGTACGTACGTACATACATACATACATACATACATACATACATACACACACACATACATACATACATACGACGTCGGGGGTCTGGGAGTTCGGGGTATAGCGTGGGCGAAATAAGTAAGCGTCCCCGATGCTGCAGCACATGTTCCCGTTCCGGATTCCATCGCCATCGGGTCTGCATGTCCCGCATTCTCCGCCATTTCCACCTCGCACCATCACCAGCCTCATCTTCATCCTCAATCCGATTCCCCCATTCCCATCTCCGCAACCGCCCTCATCGCCGTACCCGCCCTCGTTCCCATTCCAACCCACGCGGTGCCACCTGAGCGATTGGACACGATGAGAATTTTGTTCCCCCTCTCTCTCTCTGGATGCCGCCTTTGTCCGTAAGGGCTTCGCCCTCTGCCGCCAGCCACAGTCTCTATTCTATCACTGTGTAACGTGCCAGGGCTGCCTGGGCGCCGACTTGAAGCGAAATTGGGTCCTCATGTGAGGACGGCTGGTATCCGCGACATCCTTTGCGAGGGGTCGTGGCCTCGGTGGCGTGCACGTCATGTACTTCGCGAGTGGCCGTCGCCTCGGGGGCGCGACCCTGGTGTAACCGGCAACAGATTTTGGCCTCGGGCGCGCGACGCTGGCGATTCGGGCCTCGGGAGCGCGAGTCTGTGCAACCTGCGAAGGGGATTATTGCCTCGGGACCGCGAGAGACTCCTGTGCCTTGACGTGGCCCAGGGCCCCCCCCCGAAATGCAGGGCACGCGGTTCGGGGACGGCAAGGGCTCTTTTTCGGACCCCTCGTTTTTCGCGCGGACAGGGACAGTTTACAGTGACTGCGTGGACCCTACACAGTGTGTGTGTGTGTGTGTGTTCTAGCAATATTTCTCGTGCAATCTATGTGGAGCAACGCATGTGGTGCAGGCTAGGTGCTGCAAACATGTGACGCAATAGAGTTGGTGCGATCTATGTCGTGCAATCTATTTTGACTGTCTTGATGCTGTCCTCTCCGCTGCTCGTGCAAGCATCCCACCCTCCCACCCGCAACTTGGTCGCAAGACCTCTTAAGACCGTGACGGTAGAAACCAAATGACACTCGGCAACGACACCGACGCCGACGATGACAGCGACGACGACGCCGACGACGACTACGACGACACCGACGACGACTCCGACGAGTTCGACGACAACGACAACGACGACGACGACACCGACGACAACGACGCCCTGGGATATTACAAATTCATAGTTCGGATGGACGATTGGGCAGAATCATATGTAAATTGCAAGGCGAAAAGATGAATCGTTGAATCCGGGGGGGGGCAGGGTGGTAGAACATCTTTTTCTTCAAGAAAGGAGAATTCATGTGGAGCAATCTATGTCATGCGATCTCTGCTGTGCAGACTGTGTTGTGCAATCTATGTGGTGCAATGAATTTCTGTTCGCAGTGAGTTGTCCACTCCACTGCTCGCGCAAACATCCCACCCGCCCGCCCGCAACTTGGTTTGCAAACCTCATGCGGCGGCGAATGCGATGAGTGCTTGGCGCTGGCTGGTGCATCTCTGCGGCCGCGCCAGCCCGCGCATGCGCCCGCGCAGCGGCCAGGTAGTTTGGCGCGACCGACGCGGCCGCGGTGGTGCTGACCGCTCAGCACATCCCAGCGGGCACATGAGTGCGAGTCGGCGACTTGGGCGGGCACGGTATCATGGCAACGTCGACAACTGTAGACACGATGATGATGACAGTAGCGATGTTGGTGACGATGCTGACAGCGATGGCGGCGCGGTCAGTGACGGCGGCGATGCCGATCACGCCCGCGACGATGACGTCGTCGTCGCTTTGGTGGTGAAGGTTTTGGAAGGAATTCGAAATGCGCGCGCGACAGACGCGCGAGAGTGGCTCGCATGGTATGATTTGATACGGATCGTGCCACCCCAGCACGCGCGCAAGGGCTTTCGAACGATTTCGACAGGCGCGCGCGCGAAGCCCGCTTGGTAGCATTTCCCAAAAATGTTGAAATACTTGGGGTATTCTGCAGAATTCGCAAGGACGCGCGCGCGCTGTTGCTGAAAATCATTGCGACGTTTTTTTTGGGGGGGGGTAAAAATACAGCGATGCGCGCAAGGGCGTTCGAACGATTTCGACATGCGCGCGCGCGAAGCCCGTGTGGTAGCATTTTCGGCGAATCTGGAACAACCTACGTATGGTTTTCTTAAGATTTCGCAAGGGCGCGCGCGTAGATTTTTTTAGACAATCCGCGTTTCGAAACTTCTTGTTTTCATGCGTTTTTTTGACACTTGATTTTGTAATCTTTTCGAAACCGAAGGTTTTGTGAAGGATTTCGGCATGCGCGCGCGACAGCGCGCGCGCGTGCAGTTCGTTCGTTCCCTTTTTTTTCTCTCCCTTTTTCTGTTTTGTTTTGTTTTGTGGCATTTTTTGGCAAGGGGTTCTTGGAAACCTATGGTTTTCTATAAGCGAGTGTGCGCGCGTAGTTTTTGCAGAGGATGGCGGGGGAGCGATGCCGGCCCTCCTGGGATAGTGTACTTTCATGTTTAGTGAAATTGTTTGTGTGTTAGCTGAGTTGAGACATTCTATGCCCTTGCAAACATTCCATCCACCTACCTGCAACTTGACTGACCAATCCCATGCGGCCGCGATTGCGATAAATGCTTGGCGCTGGCTGTTGCATGTCCGCGGCCGTGCTAGCCCGCGCATGCGCGCGCGCGGCGCCAGCTAGTTTGGCGCGACCGACGCGGCCGCGGTGGCGCTGACCGCTGGTCACTTCCAGCGGGCACTTCACTGCGAGTCGGCGATTTGGGTGGGCGCGGTGCCATGGCGACGCTGACAGCGGTGGGCGCGATTATTGTGAGAGTAGAAGTGATGGTGACGATGGTGGCGGTGACAGCGGCAAGGCCAATGGCGACGCCAATGTTAATCAGGCCCGCCGAAAACGATGACGATGCCCTCGCGTCGGGGAAGAAGGTTTTTCAAAGAGGTTCGGCATGCGCGCGCTGCCGACGCGCGCGAGCTGTCCGCGTGGCGTTTTTTGACGCGCTTCGTGCCCCCCGCTCAGCGCGCGCGCAGGGGCGTTCGAATCGATTCGACATGCGGCGCGATAGGCCCGTTTGACATTTTTTAGTCAAGAGGCATAGTGGTTTCTTGAGGATCCGCGAGGCCGCGAGCGTTTTTTTACCCCGGGGCTGAACATTGCCGTTGCAAAACAAGGTGTTTTTTCATGCATTCGGAGCACTCTGTTTTGAAATCCGCACGAAACCGCTGGTTTTTTAAGGGTTCCGGCATGCGCGCGCGACGACGCTCGCGCGTGCACTCCGTCGCATTTTCTGTATGCACGGAGTTTTTGCGAGGGCGCTCGCGCGAGGGCATTCGAGCGATTTCGCCATGCGCGCGCGAAATGCCTGAGTGGTCGTATTTTTATGAACATGTTGAACAAACCATGGTTTTCTGAAGAGTTCGCATGAGCGCGAGCGCAGGTTTTGTGTGCGGCAACCATTGGTGCGACACCATGCTTTCTATATGTGTTCGTGGCTCTCGGTTTTTTGGAATCCTTACGACACCTTCGATTTTGAAGGGTTCCGGCAGGCGCGCGCGACGACGCGCGCGTGTGGTTTTCGTCCCATTGTTTGCAAAGGGTTTTTGGTAACTGATAGTGTTTGATCGACGAGTGCGCGCGTGCATTTTTTCCAGGGGATGAGGGAGAGGAGGGTAAACTCTGGCTTGCCTGGGATGGTATGAGTTCATGTTTAAGATGGACGATAGGGCAGAGACGCATGTAAATTGCAATGCGAAGAGGTATACCGATAAGCCCGGGGGCGAGGTAGATCTCCATTCTTTTCCAGAAAGGAGGACATTTGCGGTGCAATCTATGTGGTGGTATGCAGGTTGTGCAGTATATGCCGTGCGATCTATGTGGTGCAATATATGCTCTGCAGTTCGTGTGGTGCAGTGAATGTGGTGCAACCTGTGTTGAGCGCTATGTGTGGTGCAATCTGTGTGGGGCACTCCATGCGGTGCAGTCTATTCGGTGCAATCCGCGTGGTCCGATCTGAGCTGTGAAACGTGTGCTTTGCAAGATATGTGGGGCGATCTCTGTTGTGCAAACTATGGCGCAACCTATGTGGTGCCGTGCACTCTATGCGCTGTAATCTATGCGGTGCGATAGTCTCTGCTCGCAGTGAGTTGTCATCTGAATTGCTCGCGCAACCATCCCACCCGCCCGCCCGCCCGCATCCTGGTCGGCAAAACCCATGCGCCGGTGATTGCGGTGAGTGCTTGGCGTTGGCTGGGCCATGTCTGCGGCCGCGCTAGCGCGCCCAGGCTCGTGCGCGTACTGGCCATCCATTTGGGCGCGACCGACGCGGCCGCGGTGGCGCTGTCCGGTGGGGACTACCCATTAGGCGCCTCCGTGCGAGTCGGCGACTTGGGCGGGCGCGGTAATATGTCAACGTCGGCGACGTTAGACGCGATGATGGTAGTGGCGATGCTGGTGGCGGCGATGACGACGACGACGGCAAGGCCTGTGACGGCGCTGATGCTGACCGCGCCGGCGACGATTACGGCGTCCTCGCCTCTGCGATAAAAGCTTCGGAAACGAATTCGGCATGCGCGCGCGGCCGACGCGCGGGGGCGGCCCGCGCGGCGTTCGTTGACGCTGTTGTGCCCCCCCCAGCACGCGCGCAAGGGCGTTCGCATGATTGCGACATGCTCGCTGGAAATGCACGTTGTTTGCCCGGATTTTATTGGCAGGTCGAAGCGCCTGCG